TCCAAGGGGTGTTGATGGTGTGAAGAGTAATCCAAATATGTAACAAAATAGAAGAGATCTTACTTACAATTGGCAGAGCTTAACCCAGCTCTGGTGTGAATGGCTTACAGCGGTATTATCCCCGCTTTCAGGATATGCGGCAAGTGTCCTCTTATTCGGTAGAGCTTTAACTAGCTCTAGTTGATTTGGCGTACAGCGGTATTATCCCTGCTTGTGGGATATAAGGTGAGTGATCTTGGCTTGGACCTCAGGAGCTCGGAGAGAAGATAAAACAGCTCTCAATAAAATTTAGGTGAATGAATAAAATAATAAAATATACTCACAATATATAGGGCAGGCTAACTGCTCTATGTAACAGCGTGGGTGGTATAATCCCCACCTAGGATTCTTTGGAGTATAGTATCCAGAAAAAAAAAAAAAATGGATAAAACGTGTTATTTAAAAGAAAGGAAAAATGCTATATAAAAGGCCAGGTAATAAAAAACAAAAGATGATGGTTTAAACATAAAAATAACCAAAATCTTTATTATTGACAGTATATAAAACAGTAAAAAGTATCCAAACGCGTTTCGCCAATATGAGGCTTTATCAATGGATAATAAACATTTGAACCTGGCTGGTTAGAGTTTATATAGGTATAAAATTAATTTAAAATTGGCGCCAAAATTGTGTAACCAATAGCAAAACAGATCTTTTATACATTTACATAACAGCTTTTAGTGTTACAAATTCAATAAATATGGCTAATATGATGCTTAAAATGTAATTTGTAAGCAAAAACGAGCATTTATTAATAACAAATATTGTATAATAAGCCGGACCACGTGATGCGCGTCATAAGCGCGACGTCACTTCCGGCCGGCGGAATCATGGGACATGTAGTCTAGAGATAGACTACATGTCTATACACTGAGTGGGAACCCTCACTGGGCTGGGGAAAGGAGAGGGAGGTAGATAGAGGATTGGTTAGGAGAGGTCATGTGACGCACGTCGTCTGCCAATTGTAAGTAAGATCTCTTCTATTTTGTTACATATTTGGATTACTCTTCACACCATCAACACCCCTTGGATATTACTGAAGTAGACCCTTGGATGCGACAGAATAGATCCTACTGGACTTAATAATACTATTTATTGTGCTCATTGGCGCAGACCCTTCCCCCCACTTTTTCTGTTTTTATTATCTGATTCCCAGGGACATTAGAGGGATTCCCTGTTTGGGACTGCTGCCTCCTGGACTAGCGCTGACTCTACCCCTTGTTCTGTTAACTTTGGACAGTGTTTGTGTCTAAGTGGCTACTAAAAAAGACCGGACATACCCCATTTGCAATACCTTGGGTTGTCTACTTTTGCAAATGATATGCCATCATGAGGGTAATTTTTATTCCTGGGCTACCATATGCTCTCAAAGGCAACATGGCCAGTCTGGCAAATTTCAATGTGTATAAACTGAAAAATGTAATGTGCTATATTTTACCCTGTAACGTTCCAAAACACCATAAAACCTGTACATTGGGGGTACTGTTTTACTCGTGAGACATCGTTGAATACAAATATGTGTATTTTATTGCAGTAACAGCTAACAGTATCGTGACATTCTCAGTTAAAATGCCATGCAGAACTAAAAAAAGAACATTTCTTAATTTCTCATTTTTTAAAATTTATTTATTTTTAAATTTTTATTTTTACAGTGCATAGAAAGTTTACAAGCTGGCATGAGGTGCCCCGAAAGCAATCCTCTAGCATTTTCTATGCCAAACATGCGGGACATATGATTATCAGGCTCATTTTTTAAAAATATTTTATTCATATAAAATTATGTTTAATATACAAATATTTGATATGACATGAAAGCCCTGTTTCTCCTGAACATAATGTGTGGGTGCACATAAAATAAAAGATGTGAATTACGCCTGAACAGACATTTAGCGCAAATTCAAGGCTTTGTTTATGTTTTGTTTTGATCACAACTTGTACAACTGCCTTAGTCCTTAAGGGGTTAATTTATCAGACTTTAAATGCCAACTTTCTGCAAATTGGATAGAAACTATTCCTTTTTCCTACATCAAAATGTTACATTTATAATTATCTTGGGAAGTAAAGGACTTTCTAAAATGTATATAATTTGTTTTGCCATCTAACATTCACATTTAGCTCTGAGGATTGTGCTTGACCCTAATGATAGTAGAGGTTTAATAGGCTATAGTTGACCTTATATAATATTGGCCCATTACTGTGCTATCACTCACACGCTTCCCTTGTGCTTATTTCAGACAATTGTCTGATTTATCCACGTTGTCTTCGTCTGGTTTTATGTACATTTGCTTTCTCTATAAGGGATTTACACTTTTTATATTTTTGTATCTTCCAATGCTCAACTGACTCAGAATAAGACTCTTTGTTATCCAGTCACTATAGTTCTGAGGAATGTGATGTGCTGCAACTATCATGTAACTGGAATGATACTTTTATTTCTGTCAGGTTTCTCTTTCTTTCATTATCGCTGTTGCAAATGGCATAGTCATTTGGTTTTTCTACACTATACTATTAATGTCACCTCTTCACCTGTACTCCTTTCATTAAATAGACTATTATACTCTTTGTGTTAGAGATAGGTAGACAGGTATTGTACATTGACTTGAGAGATTGTAGATAGAACAAAATCAATGGCTGGAGTATGAAATGTGGGTCAGAAACAAAAGTGGTATAAGATGTCACAGGAAAAATTGGCTAGCAATGGGCCGTGGGCTGAGGCTGCAGTCAATAAATCAACTACTAGAGGCCAAAATAGTAGAAGATGAATTTTTGCAATTTAAAATATCTAGATTTTAATTGATAGTAGTATTTCTGAATAATATCAGTATCATGGAGAAGTACTGAATCGGAATTAAAAAAAACCCACAGAATACTATAATAGTGACTTGTGATAACTTGTGCTGTCCATAGAGCAAGACAATCAGCTAGGAGAAAGTACAAAGCAAATGGTGGTTCTGGAACTGAACCACCTGAACTGGAGAACTGAGCATTTGTTGGGCTGCTAAGTATTTATGGGTGTAATGGATCCAGAGTCCTCTAATGGTAGAGATGGAACCCAGCTGCAGGAATGGAGAACATACTTATGAATTAACATTTACCAAGATAGCATTAAAGCAAAAACCATCTCCCACAAACTGGCAGTAACACCAAGCAGAAAGGACTGGAGATACTAGATATGGAGCCAGGGAGCTGAAGAGACATATTCCTCTTATCTGGTAACATGCCTAGCAAGCTTATGGTCAAGTCTTTACCAATTGCTAGAGCTATGCCACTTGATGCCAACCTGGTGCCTGTGTTGACAGTTTGGAGGAATCCAAAGAGAAATTAGTATATGAACCCATAAAGCATGTGTCCAAAACATGAGTCATGACCAATGCCTCAAAGCAATTATTTTCAGGATGCCTGACTTGGGAACTTGCTGACCAGGAAGTTCTCAGCAGCTGCTTTCATTACTGAAAAGAAAGACACAAAATGTTATAAGAATATGTAAGGCCATAAAATAACAAAAATACGATTCATCGATCCATCTATATGTCTTACTAGACCATCACAACATTTCTAAAGATAAATCTCTCCATATACCTAATGTCTTTATGTATGGTGATATATATATACATATACAGTTTTAATTATAACTATCCAACCCACATTGAACATCAGGTTTATTGTCAATATTTACAGACTTTCAGCTGTTTGCAATGAACAAATAAAACAAAAGCAATTGAAATAGCTCAACATAATGAATGCTTTAAGTAATTTCCCCAAATTCAACTGAAAATGTAACTTATAATGACTTCTACAGCTATTTTACTTGCTTTTGTTTAGTAGCCTGATTTTTAATAGGGATGAATAATTTCGATTACAACTGTGTGTGTGTGTGTGTGTGTGTATACAGGGCCAGATTAGGAGCCCAGTAGGTCTGGTGCTGACAATTATGAGGGGCCTAATTACAGAATCGTATTGACCAAAAACAGTAATACAGTCCTACCTCTCAAGTGTTATGTATCTGATGGAGATGTTGCCGGAGAGAAACTCATAGGTTGCTGCTATAAGAAAACTCAGATTTTCTTAACATATGCTAATCTCTCTCTAATTCATGCTTCTATCTTTCAAGTAAATCCATACTCCCTAACATCAGTGTATAGTGAAGCAGGAAGTCAATGGGTGCTGTAAAAGGGTGCTCCACTTATGCCGATCATGTAACCAGAACTTCTGAAAGGGACGAACATGCCCAAAAAGGAGGCGTGTCTGCCTAAAGAATTGGAATGCTAGCCTGGCATGAATGCATGTCAGGCTGCCTGCCAATCATGCATGCAGACCAACAGCATCCTGAGCTTGGCATTAATGCGTCTAATGATGTGCTTGCTCCATGCTTTCTATGGACTGTCCCCTAGCACTCACAGGTCCACTTGTCTCCTTACCTTCTTACTAGTAGGCAGAAGCTTCTGATATACAGTATAAGACAGAGAAAAGGTGTACGTAGTGAGTATAGAAGAAAGGAAACATGCCACATTGTTAGAGAGGCCAAAGTCAGCATTTCCTTAAGTTTCCATACTTAAGCAAGAGTATGTAAAGAGTAGTTAGGGTTGCCACCTTTCTTGGAAATAATACAGGCCTTACTAATTTGCATAACTAATTATGTATGGGTGACATCACATGATGTAAATCACAAGGAGTGACAAAAGAGAAAATTCTGTAAAATCACCAAAAAAATAACTTACAGTTTGATTCTGCTGAATAGATTGGATTGCTCCCAGTGTCTCTCAGTGTCCCCATGTCTGCAAGTGTCTGTGTCCCCATGTCTCCCAGTGTCCCTATGTCACCTAGCGTCCACATGTCACCCAGTGTCCCCTAGTTTCTGTGTACCTATGTCTCCCAGTGTCCCCATGTTACTAGGGGACACTGAGAGACTAGGGGAAACAGAGATGTTGGGCCACTAAGAGACATAGGGACACTTGGGGACACTGGGAGACATGGGGACACAGACACTGGGAGACATGGGCACACTAAGACACTAGGGACATTGGGAGACATTGGGGCACTGAGACACTAGGGACCCTGGGAGACATGGGAACACTGAGACACTAGTGTGATGTCAATCACAAGGAGTGACATAAGAGAAAATTCTGTAAAATCACCAAAGAACTATTTACAGTTTGAATAGATTGAATAGTTTCTGCTGAATAGATGAATTGCTCCCAGTGTCTCCTAATGTCCCCATGTCTCCAAGTGTCTGTGTCCCCATGTTTCCCAGCGTCCCCATGTGTGTCTGTGTCTCCAAGTGTCCCCAAGTGTCTCAGCATCCCCAGAGGTCTCCCTGTGTCCCTATGTCTCACAGTGTCCTCAAGTGTCTCAATGTCCCCCTTTACCCCATGTCTCACTTTCCTGAGCTGTAGGCTGGACTCTCTGTACTATGTAGCTGCTCCCCCATGGATCAGTGAGTAGAAACATGCAGGTATATGCTGTAACTTCCTATCCCTGCCTCTCTCCACACACACAGAGACCCCTACTCTGTGAGTATTGCAGAGTAATCTCTGTTTATACTGAGAAAAATACCGGCAATTGTATTGCTGATATTACTGCAATATCGGCACCGGCCAGGCAGCCTCAAATAAATACCAGCCAGGTGGCAACCCTAAGAGTAGTGTGTAAAAAAAAATCAATCAATTTAATTGGTTGATGATGAGATATTTATTTTAAGAATAATTCTAGCAGACTCAAGGATATTTTCATTTACGTATTTGACATTGGGTCAGAGAAAAAGTTGACTTGACTGGAGACTGAGCAGAAACAATGACTGATGATTACATTTGTTCTTATTTGTAGACAAGAGGAGGAGGAGGAATACTGCACTTTGGAGGATCAAAACATTTAAGTGTTAAATCACTGAGTCACATTTCTGTAAAGTAGGACGGAGACTATATATGTCAGAAGTGTGCAGATTTCATGGGAGTTGATCGCAGTAATTTTAAATGTCAGTGATATAATTTTTGTAATAAACGAATTAGAGGATCATCAGTGGTGTCTCCAGCATTCATACTTAGGGGGGGTCACATAAGGGGCCAGGGACAAAAGTAGGGGGGCAGTTATAAAACGTGTTCTTATATGTGTGTGAGTGTGTGTGTGTATATATATATATATATATATATATACAAAAAATATAGCCGGCACTCACGGTTTTCTCGAATGGTTTCTCTTTAATTCTGAATATCACATATCCTGATGAAAGCTCCTTTAGGGAGCTGAAACGTCGATATTCAGAATTAAAGAGAAACCATTCGAGAAAACCGTGAGTGTCGGCTATATTTTTTGTATTTATCAATTTTGCAACCTGAGCACCAGGTATTTATATTTATGCGGGTTGGAGTGCAGGAATTACCATTTTTCTTGTTCTATATATATATATATATACACACACACACATTTTATAACACACACATACAAACACAGGGCTCGACAAATTCCAGGTGCCAGGTTGCCATGGCGACTAGACATTTCGCCCTGATGTCTGGTATTTGTCAGACCTATGCTAAGCCGCACAGGAAACATTAAAGCTGTCTGCCGTGGGGGGGCATAAAGGGAGCAGTAACCTTCCTGCAGTTCCTCTCTGCTCCCTTGCGCACTGTTTAGTAACATGACATCACTTCGGCCCTGGCATCACAAAAGAGAACGCACAGAGGAGCAGAGAGAAACTGCAGGAAGACCGATAGGAGACACACTGGATGCCAGGGAAAGATCCACTCAGCTCTCCCAAAGGCTGGGTGGATTTAAATTAATATAAAAATAGCAATTTGTGAGTGTGTGAGAAAATATGTGTTTGTGCTGAAAGGGCCTGTAATGTGTGTGCGTGTGCATCTAGGGGCTGCATTGTGAGTGTGTGTTCATCTAGGCGCTGCATTGTGAGTGCATGTGTATTGGGGTTGCATTTGGGTTGCATTGTGTGGTTATCAAAGAGCTGTATATATTGACTCATATGCCCTTGGATCTTAGAAGCTATGATGCCTGACAGGAGTTTCCATGTTGTGGGGAGGCAGGTTATTGGTCGGTAGTTGGATGCTGTTCCATTGTGAGGGTCCTTCATGACCAGTATTGTTCTTCCTTGTGTTAGCCAGTCAGCCTGTTGCTTTGTCCAGGAATGATTTGTTCCAGTAGCCCACTTGTCATATTGCCCTGATTCCCTAGCATCTAACGCGGACCTTTTTAATCCGGCCGACGACCCTTCCAAAATGTAAAATTATTGTAAAAATACTGTCATTCATATGTTGCAAGCTCACAAATTAAATAATAAACAGTGAAAACTGCTCAAAACATGTGCTTAGTCTCTTAAGCTAGTTCTACAGAAGTCAGAAAAATAGGATGAGCGCTAAAATGTGAAAACCACATGAATCTCATCCAAAATGACTGTCACTTGGATTTAATCCAATTTTCAAATGAACCAGACTTATACTGACCAGTAATAATCATATAAATATATTCTACTGTGGCACATCATATCCTCAGCAGTAAACCCCTTGCATCTGGGGGTTATACAGAATGACACATGGGCATGAGCATATAAAATGAGGCAGAATACAATTTTCACACCTATTGTTAGGTCTCCTTAAAGTGTATCTACACAATTCCACTAAAATATACAGCACTCAGTGCTTGTCACTTAGCTTACTGCTGATCACCTATCGGCTTAGATACAGCTGGATGCTTACTTTAAGTTGGGAACCAAGTATATAAATAATAGATGCCTATAAAAATTGTATACAGAAAAGGCTTTATTTTAAGTAATATATTGATTTGGTAATAATCTTAAGCATGCTAGATATCCTAGTGGAACTGCTCGACATTTTCACATTGGGAGAATGGAACACTGTTAGGTCGCCAGGTTATTCCTGGAAACAGGACAGCTCTTTCAACGAGCTACCTATTGGCGAAGAAGTGATGTGTGCCGAAAAAAAGCATGTTAAATATGGTTGTGGAACCAATTTCGAAAGGTCCAGAAACAGACAATGATAACCCATGATACTACAGACCCAGTGTTGATTTTTGCTCCGTAATAATTATTAGGTCATACCCTGTCTAGGATATCCGGATGAAGTCCTGCCACAAGTGCTTTTCAATCAACTGGAATTTATATACATGCTGTTACAGCAGAAAGCACGCACTAATTCGAATAATTATGTGTATTCGCATTGTAATAGGAAATAGTGTTTAACCATCACTAAGACAGGACATTAAACATATAGAGCTCTTTCAATGTTTACACCACTGGAAGCATCACAGAACAACACTTATAGAGAGCATTCCCTATTGCTTTGAGGACCAAAATGAAAAATGCTAAGCATATTAAATGTTTATTATACATGAATTAAAAGTCTAAAAGCTTGCATTACTATGCATTACTATCATTTTTTGCCGCATATGTTTTCAAAAGCTTCTCACATGAGCACAGCTGGGTTTTCTGAATGAATAGAATGATCCTGACAGATGCACTTATGCTATTTATAGAATCCTCATGTGAGGAGATTCAAGAAAACCTGCGATTTTAAATCTTCATGAAAACTGGCATTTGTAAGGCAATGTGTAAAGTGCTCATTTCCTTTTGCTTTGCCAATAAGTTTAGGAAAGTTTATAGATATAGAAAGTGGAGGCCTCGTTTTTTTTTAATCCATTTTGCAATCAATAAATACATTTGTTTTTTGTTATACACCAGTGGCGCAGTAAAACACTTTAAACAGTAAGTTGGTACCTGAGAATGCCGGCAAAGCTAGCCGGATCAAGGAACATGTGTAAGTGTGGGGTGTGTGTAGGAGAAAGTGATAGGGTGAGGCTTGGTGTGCCCAGCAGTAAGTGACTGGCAGGGTGGCGGGGTGTGAGGGTATAAATAGGAGACATGTTCTGTCCTTCCCCATGCCATTTTATAATCGGCTAGGAGTTGATCTCCTCCCTCCTTTTAGATATGCCTTTTGCTTGTGTTCATGTTTTTTCGCTGTTTTCTCACTTGCCCTTCGTCACAGCAGGCGGGTGGTTGTCCTTGCCAATCGTGGGTTGGACTGGGGAGTCCACCGGGTGTGAAGGAAAGTGGTATGGTCTATTACGGATGTGTCCACTGAGCCATAAGTCGGCTAGTCGTTAGCATGGTGTTGGTGGAAGGCCAGGTTTTGTGGCCAGTGTTGGGTGAGATGAGAGTGGAGGACAAGTGCCAAGGCAAATTAAGAGGTTACAGATAATTGATTGGCATTGATGGGTATGTTTCTGAAAATGTTGTTTTGTTATATTGTTTGATGTTCAAAATTATTAAAGTGTTATATATATATTTGATACAAAGTTAATATTGGTAATATTGTTTGGTGAAATACTTTAATAAAAAAAGCTGTGGCGTATTTTCACCAACTATGTCTCATGTCGTATTATTGGAATGCAAAGAGGGTAAAAGAAAGGGGGCACTACACATTTCCTCTCTACTTGCACACATGAAAATCAGCATGTTTATCTCCTATCTTAAAGGGTTACTACAACTCCATGACAACTTACACCTTTAGAAATATGTATGTGCAGAACTTCTCCTGGAAAAAGAACTGGCACACATGACTTAATTCTGTGCAAATATGTCTGCTGATAGCGTACACTACGCACTGGAAACAAACGTAGATGAGCTTCTACCCTTGCAGTCAGTGCTGGGAGCTCACCTACAAGGGGAAGCCTAGATCTCCCCTCCTTCCCTCCATCCTTCTTTATTAAAACACTTTGATTGGACCACAGGGAGGGAAAGAGTGATGTGGTGTGCCGACGGAAGGGGCATTGAAGAGCATTGCCTGATGATGGATTGAAAGAAATTAAAATATATTTATGATACCACTTTAAGGTACCACTTTAAAATAAAATGCAGAACACACTGTTATTGGGGTACTTTGAAGCAAGGGTGAACTTAAACATGGTATGGCTATATAGTGTATAGTAAATACCCATTTTTGTTTACTGAGATAGGGGATTTTAAATTGTCCTTGTAAGATTATATACTTTATTTTTGTGTGCATACTGTTCCCTTAATGTGTATCCTGTATTCTGAAAAGCACAAATCAGGGTAGTACAGAGTTCAGTTTGCACAGTGCAAGTGGATGTAATATGTGTATATTTGGTACTTGTCTCTCAGCAGAACTCAAGAAATCAAATTTGGGACAGTAAGACAGAAGTCCTAAATTTGAACTGTCATGCTGAGTCCAGATCTATTAGAAAGTAAATCAAAGTTTTGCTTACAGAATTTATCTTTTATGCAAAACCTGGACAATTCCTAGCGTGGATAATGCGCCGGTCAAATTCTCTTACTTTACACTTTAAACGGTTTATAAAAGTTGTCCAGG